CACCCTCCCCCCCCCCGCCGCGCCCCGCCCCGCGGCTCACCCGGCCGGGAGTGCAGGCGCAGCCCTCTGTGAAGGGCCAGGCGCGGAAGGTGGCGGCGCGCTCCGCTGGAAGGTAGAGGCGCCACTCAGGCGGCAGCACTGACTCCGGTTCTTAACGGGACAGGGCAGGAGCCGATCCCTCTGGGCTGAGGGTGTCATTTGGTTGCGGGTCCTTGTCGTGTCCCTGTTTAACTCTTCATCCCACAGGGGTGTAACCAGGCTCTCTGCTCTGCACTGGCTTTGATGCCCCAGGGGTCCGAGCAGCTTGTCTTCTACCAGGCGCTGTCACGCAGCTCCCCATGAAGTTATCTTTGGTTTTGCTTCCATCTTAAATTGCATAACCCAGCCCCAGGCCCCTCGCCTATTAGCAAAGCTTCTGGTTTATTTCTAATTGGAGAAAAATAGGTGTTGTTTCATGTTGGATGAAGCATGGGTGTCTGGTGCCTCGAGGGGGGGGGGGGCATGTGCCCCCCCCGTTTGGGGGACCGGGGGGGTCGGGTCCCCGGGGGGGGGGGGGGGGCATGTTCCCCCCCCACACTAGTCAGTGATGGGAGGGGGGCGGTCCCCCGGTGACCGATCTCACTCACCATGAAAGCAGCCACGCCACTTCCAGAAGTCCCACGGCCACTTTTGCTGGTGGCCCAGCTCCCCGGCCAGCCGGCACTCACAGGAGGAGCACTGGAGCTCCTGCCTGCCTCCCAGCTCACTGGCTAATCAGGGAGCACAGCCTGACGGGGACCCGTGCACCGGCATTCTTACCTGGGAGAAGCACCTCAACTTCTGCACCCCCTGTCCAACATTGTAGATCTGCCTCCGCCTGCCCATATGCTCCCCGTTTTGCGGACACGTGCTCGTTGTGTACCACGGTTTTAAACATGAAGGTTGTGTCCGGGTGACCATGGCTGAATGGCATGCAGCGCAGGGGTGGGGTTGATCCCAGGAGATCCCAGGATCAAAAAAACCCACAAGAAAAAAAAGGCAGGGCCGTGCACATGGGGACAGCGTGGACTACCCAAAACCCGCGCCTGGCCAGCTGGAGCCACACTCTGCCAGCCAGCCAGGCTCCAAGCAGGCCTGCAGCTTCCCCAGGACCCCAAGGTAAGGCTGCTGGGGCCAGTGGCCCCTACCCCACCCAGGGTAACCTGCCACATGTCCTTCTGGCATGTGGCACAAGCATTGCCCAGGGACAAGTGGCAGCAGCACAAGGTGGGCCACTGCTTGTCCTCAGGGAAACACGTCCACACTTATGTGGACACAGCTGAAGGCTTTGAGGCCCACAGGCGAAAAAGGCATACCCATTGAACTTCCATATTTATAGTTGCTATTTCTTTGATTGCAGAACTGACTTTTTTTCCCCACAAGTTTTCATTTTTTCCCAGAATACAGCAACCTTCCCCCCCCCAGGCCAGGTGAGGCAGAGTTTGGTTTAAAGCTTTGTTTAGAGCTGTTTAATAATAAACACAGGGGACAAATGGATATTTGTTAAACACTCAACAAGTCTTCCCTCATGTGAAGGAATGAAGAGTTTTTAATCCAGGCTTGGGCTTGTCTAGACTAGATAACAAGCTGTTAGGTAACATGCTGTAACTAAGTATGTTATTAAACATCACTCCGTACCTAAGGGAGAGAGAAGAGATGGCTTAGTGGTTAGGAGCTAGCCTGGGTGTCAGACACGCAGGTTAACGATCTTGCACTGGCACTGTGACCTTAGCTGGGTCACTTAATTTCTCTGTCCCAAATTCTCCAACTCTAACAGGGCTAGCAGCATTTCCCTGCCTCATTGATGTGGGGAGGATGAACAATTCAAAATTGTGAGGTGCTCTGACAGCATCATTGCAGAGGCTGCAGAAAATGTCTCAGACAGACAGGTTTAACACCTAGAAAAACATCAGATGACTACAGTCAATCCTAGGCTCTCTAGGCATTGGACAACATTTTTTAGAAATAAACCTTTTAAAAGTAAAGCCCTTGACAGCTCCAGCCAGATCCTCTAGTACAGGGTTCTCCAATTTCTGGGCAGCTGGAAGCCTCATGTCACAAGGCCCACAGAGCAGGGGGCCAGCCACACACCACACAAGTGCCCCTTCCCCAGCTCCTCCCCTCCATACAGGCTACCCAGTGCCCTCCCCCCCTGCCCCTACAACTCCCCTGCTGTGTGTGCATCACCCACTTCCCACCCGCCACCTATCCACCTGCCTACAGTGCTTGCAGGCTTGCTTCCTCAATGACAGCTCAGGCACTCCAGCTTTGGGATGCTAATGGCAGAGTGGGGAGAAGGATGGGGGCAAGATTAGCGAGGAAAATGGAAGTGATCAAAGGTGGGTGATAAATGCAGCTTATCCCCTTGGTCTGCAAACCCCCACCTAGAACCTGCCACCCTGTATGCTTGTGGGGGTGCAAAGAAAATGCATTCATACATACGCATGCAGTAGGCATAGCAAAACATGAATCAGGCAAGCTGTGACTGCTTCCATTCCCAGTGTTGTTTGACATTAAGACATTCCTCACCAATGTAGGCAATACAAGATGTCCTGTGAGTAATCAGATTCCTCTTTCAAGGTAAAGTGGCAAGCATGACGATGACCAAATTATTTCATGCTCAGAAAATTATAGAACAATATACCTACCATAGCCAGCAGCTCACATGTGTAGCAGATCTAAATGCAAGATAGCCTGAATGCAAAAGGCAGTTTCCCTGCTACATCACATTGACATGAACAGGCAACACCACTCAGAAACGATTCAGGTTTCTTTTTCCCTTTAAGGAGAAAAGTGAATTTCATCATTAGTCTCAGGTAACTTTGCTCAGCTAAACTTGGTTGTGCCAAGGTGCTGGTTTGGCATCCAAAATTGTACAGTCATTGAACAGCTTGATGGAGTTGTAGGTAATTCACTTTTGTGGGGTGTTGGATTGTTAAATCAGTGTGGGTGTTGGATTTCTAATCAATGATAAGACTGCTTGGTATTCGGATCTGGGAGAGAGAAAAAAGGAGAGCTGTGTGGGAAGGCAGACTACATGTGCTTTGCTCACACTTTTCACTGGAGAATTCTCCCACAGAAAGCGAGCTGCTCCACTGAAATTTTTGTGTATTTTCATAGCAGCAAG